AACATCTAGAGGCTTTTGTTTAGGTATTTCCTAAGGTAACTGGCTGTGTCATAGGATGTAACTGAACTTCAAACGAGTTTCTCTTAGAAAAATAATTAAATTCCTTTGCAAAAAATGTAAAACAACACTGTACTTCAATTGCTATGTTTTCTTGCTTGCCATGGCCTCTTTTTCTATCCTTAAGACAATAGGGTGCATGTGGTTTGCATGAACACCCTCAGCGGCTTAGGCTCAGTCTGACCATGTCTGCCTCACCACAGTGAGCTACTGTATTTCCTGCTTTAGAGCCCTGTTCTACAAACATTACTATCTGTGCTGCCTCAACTACAAATTGGATGAACAACTCATGACACTTTTTCAATATTATTACATTAAACCAAGTGGATTTTGATTGATAACCTAATATTCAACTAATGCAGAACATCAATCATGGCAAGTATATTAATTATTTAATATTGCAGTCTAATTCAGAAATCAATGTGCTGTATGAGGGGAAGGGAAACTCATGGTTCCCAGAAGATTTAAGACAGGGAATGATTAAAAAAAAAAAAAAACCTGCTGTACTCCTGTGTGTTAGTTCGATACAAATCTTTATTCATTTGCCAATAATCTCTTCCCATTTTCCACTTCAGGACCATTTTATCAGTTTTGAGACCCATAATTGAATTAAGTCTGCTTTCAGCACAGGGCAAAAGAAGTTGCACAAATATTGATGAAGTCATGACAGGGACAACCCAAGAGACAGACCACTAAGAGGGACAGGTTTTCTACCATTTGTGGCAAGATCCCTTTGTCAGTGTTTTGGAGTTAGTATCTCTGTTTAAAACAGAAAATCATTAAGGCTTCTATAATGATTTTTCAATCTTTTGTACTAAATGCCACCTACCACATCACAATTTCTATAGCACTTTATAGTTTAGAATGAACCTTCATATATATTATATTGCATATTCTTTAAAAACAATTTCTATATTATGCAAGTCTTAGTTATTTCATGTTGTGTAGTGAAATTTCCTTAAGTGCACATTTGTAGCTTCACTGGAGATGGGTTATCACTAAGCTTGTGTGGATATTTTGTGATAGACATTAAATTTAGATATTCTGATAATATATTATCTTAAAAATACATAAAACGCCCCTCAAAGCACCTCACATGTGTTTATGTATAACTTTGGAAGAGACTGGGAATGTAAATATATTTGCCATTGAAGTTTTAAATCAGATTTATCTGGTCATTTTTAAATACTTTTTGGGAAACCTTTCTGAATTATTTTGACTTTTTGACTTGTGTTACTCATCTTAGAAATTTCTTTTTCCTTAATGATTAGAGAATCTTCTTCCCAGGCATTTTAGTCCAGGTTAATTTGAGAGCTGAAGTGGTAAGACTATGCTGTTCTAGTCTAGCTTTATTTCCATCTCCTTCCAAAACAACAACCCATTCATCATGTATTCTCATATGCACACAGACCCTTTCCCACCCCTGTCTGTTCATGTTACTTTCTATCCAAGATAGCCTCTCATAGGTAGAAACCCCTTGCTCTTTTTGTGGTTTGGTGATAAGGTGTGTGCTGGAAGGTTAGGGTTAGGATTAGGGTTGACATAATGTAGAGTCATTTGAGAAGGAACCCTAATTGAAAAAGTGCCACTACCAGATTGGTTTGTGGTCAGTCCTGTGGTGCATTTTCTTTATTAGTGATTGATGTGGGAAATCCTGGGCATTGTTGGTGTTGCCAACCTTGGGTAAGTGCTTCTGGATGTATAAGAAAGCAGGCTTAGAAGATTTGGGCAGCAAACTGGTAAGCAGCACCCCTCCTTGATCTCTGCTTCAGTTCTTGACAATAGGTTCTTGCCTCCAGTTCTTGCCCAGACTTGTGGACTTTATGCTGTAATATTCCCCATTCTTCTCAAGTTGCTTTGATCCTGGTGTTTATCATCTTAATAGAAAGTAACTGAGATTAGATGGAACTGTGAAGGCTGTTCAGAGACCTAAGCTGAACCTGGCAGGTTCTTATAACTGGTCATGTGCTGTGATTCACATGTTGTGAAGTGGGTGCTAGTAGATAAATTACTTTTTTATTTTATGCACTTCCTCAAGGACTTTTCTTTATAGTCTTTAATTGGGAAACTAAATGAATATTTGTAATGACTTGTAATAAATTCTGTCATAGGACATGTCCAAGTTGTTATGGGAACATTTTCATAACTCTTTATATTGTGCGTATGGGAGTTTTCTTCCGTTGAAACATAGTTTAGGAGTCCTGGAAATTTTTCATTTTATTGTTTGTTAGTAAAATGAGACCTGGGAGAGACTGAGTGAAAGGTGTGTCTGTGTATGTACGTATGTGTGTTTATGTGTGTTCGTGTGTGTGATCAAGTAGCTCGTTAAGAGTGAAAACTAGATTAATTATTTGTCCACCTTGGATATTACTGTCACTTTCCATTTTATGTAGTCTTAGCATGAGGCATTTGTTAAGAAAACTTACATCTTAGAAAGGTTTCACTTTTTTTTGGAAGCGGCGCTGACACTTAACAGGGCAGGAGCCATTTTGATTCTTGAGAAGTGAAGCAGTGATCTCTGGCAAAAGAGGATGGTGTCAAATAAGGTGTCACCAGACTTTATAATTATTTCAAATTTATTATACTAAAGCTAATGTGTTTAATTGAACAGGAATGCAAAGAAATCTTTGTTTTTATAAGACATTCTCTAGTTATTTGTGTAACCCAGAATTTAAATTGGTCCGCTATAGGGGACCAAAATCCTCTTTTATACTATGTGGTCATGTGTGCATATTCACACTCACACACATGTGCATGTGCACACACATACACACACACACAGTACATTTGGATTTATTTTATTTTCAATTATGTGTGTATTTGTGGGATTTGTGCATTCAAATTCAGGTACCCAAGGGTGTCAGAAGAGGATATTGTCTCCCCTGAAGTTGGAGTTACAGGCAATTATGAGCCAGTTGGTGTGTGTGCTGGCAACCAAACTAGAAATCTTTGCAATAGCAGCACCCACTCTTAACTTCTGAGAGATCTCTCCAACCCAAAACAAATACTTAAAAATTTGTTAAGACCTATAATCATGCTGAAACTAAAATACTGCTTGATCATAGTAGAAAAGTCAAAGTTCATCTGCCACTAATAAACTAATATAGATTGCAGTCTTCTAAAAAATCTATCCATGGGCTGGCTCTGCATTCAAGAGCACTTACTAGGTATTGTAGAGAACCCATGCAGTTTACAAATACCTTTAACACTATTGTCCAGGTATTCTGACAGCCTCTTCTGGGGTACTGAATATATGTGGTGCATATATAGTCATGCAGGCTTACACACATATACATAAAAATTTTAAATATAAACCTTTCCCATGCACATAAGACATAGAGCCAGAGGCCTCTGAGCTAGAACCTCCTGTTCACCAGAATACACCAGGCAAGCATCCGAGGGAGTGAAACAACCAGCAGTATTGCTCAGCTGTGATGCCTACGAACCACAGAAACCGCCAGCATGTCACAGGAAACCTAAGGGTGCAGTTGTGACCCATAAACCTTGATAGTAACTGACAGCTCTCTAATTGGACTTAAGACTCACACAACAAGACAGATACCATTCCTACAACTGGAAACCTTACCAACTCCTGAGGCCTCGTGAAGTCATGAATCTTGGAAGAGAACATATAAACCATAGCTTTACCAAAACAGCACAATTCCAACTACATTCTAAATTACCCATACATAGTTCTTTTTCTTACTTCTCATCAAAGAAACTTCTTAGCACCACAGACAGACACTATTGCAGAAATCCACACGCCGAGCTGTAGAGCCCAGTTTCAAGAGATATTCCTGCAAAACTGTGCACACCTAAGGCCCAGGGAATATTGCAGAAAGGATGGGAATATTTTAAGAGCTAGAGGATCAAGGAATTCGCTGTGAGACTACGTCTTTTAGTAATGTCAGAAACTATGCCCATTAAAGTCTCATCAATATGAATGCCTAAACATGAACTGCACACAGACAATGACAGACATGCCAAAGTGTGGAGAAAAGACCATGAGGCTCTAAACTTACACAAAGAACTACAGGCAAATAAGGAACGCTGAAAGTAGCAGAAATAGTTTTCCCCAAGGAAGAGCACACCAGTTGGTTAGCCAATACTAAATGATCAGCTCTGAAAACACACACACACACACACACACACACACACACACACACACGTAACACAATGATCTATCAGGTTATATTTAGTTACAAGAATGTAAAGCAATTAATGAAAACAGAGGTCATGAGTTTGAAAGATACAAAGGATTGTATGGGAGGGTTGGACAGAAGAAAGGAAAAGAGAAAATTAGGTAGTTATACTAAAATTGAAAAATAGAAGTATTTTTTAAAGTAAACCTTTAAAAAAACCCACATATTTTCCACTTCATCAGCTGTCTAAATTGTCTTTGCAACTTGTATAAATATTTGTCTAGTTCTATCAGTAGTTCCTTTTATAGTCAAGATGATATGTATATCATATATTTGATTTTTGTTGATATTTTCTCAACGTAATAACTACAGATCTTGATTTATAATGAAACTAAACAGTGTTCAAAAATTATTTGTCAATGTTTTTGTTATTTAACCATGTATTTAGAAGTGTAAATTTGTAGAGTCTTGGTGGCAGATAGACTTTGTGATCGACATTTTCATAATTTTAAAAAGCTAATATAAACATTGTATAAATAGTAAAGAATGTACTTGACATTGTTTTTCATTGACAGAAAACTATGAAACACTTTTGTTAGTCAGATAAAAGTTTTAAAGGCAATACTAATTTGAAAAATGTTTTCTGTTGGTGGATATTTTTCCCTTTAAAAATAATTGTATTATGAACTTTAGTAAAGATAAATGAAAAATTCTAAGGTTTTAAAGCATATTCAAATAAGCATCAATTAGAGCAGACAAGAGTTTAGTAGCTATTTAGAACTTTTCCTTTTTTTTTTATAGGGAATCTGGAAACATCAAAGCTGGATTAGAACATCTGGTAAGCAATAAGTTCCTCTTCAACATTTGCATCCTCTTTGATATCTGCATCCTAAATGAACACTTTTGGATGAGTTTTGAATACCTTGCAGTGAAAGTCAACAGTTCCCAAAGGCTCAGCCTACTGGTATTATGTGAACGCACTTACCTTTTCATTTATCTTACCATTTTGAGGGAATTAAATTTTTTTAAATTAGTTTTTTTTTGATGTAGAGATGAAATAAACTGAATGACAAACCTTGGATTGATGATTGCTTTAATTAGAAGCAAAAATAGGTGTAGAATTTTTGGCATATCTTGATCTGATACAAACAAGCACATGTTTCAAGAAAAACACAATCAAATATTGCTTATATAAATGTGTATGTTCCAGCAATTTCAGAGCTTTGAAAGAAATGCACAGCTTTGTTTTTCCTGGTGTCTTTCTTTATGAATAATGCATTGGTATAAAATATATTTGGTTTTAGTATATAAAATAATTGACATGCACAATTGTGTTCTGAGCAAGCATTTTTAAGGAACAAATGAAATTTAAACTGATTTAGCATTAAAATCTATCCACTGATTTAAAAAATTGGAAAGGCCCCTTTATAACAATTCATAGAGTTGACTGGATAAAGTGTTCACTGTACCATTAAGTAGTTCGTTTAAACAGAGCCTTATAAACTCATGCTCTGGTTTCTGGTCAGGTCCAAATGTTGTATAATTAATGGTAGTGATCTTTTGTAAACATAGTCTAAGTACTTTTAAAATTGAGAGGCTTCATTCATGTATCATACTTTAGCTTGTTAACTGTTAATATATTTTTGTCCTGCTTCCACAAAAGGAAAACAGTGGCAAGTGGCAGCTTCATGTTTTAAAGTAACTTTTGTTCTTTGCCAATTTCATGGGTGTGTATAATACTCCCTTCTTACCTGGCAGCTTCATTTTTAGTCACAGAAATTTCACAATTAGAAACTTTTTTTTTAACAATTGAAGGAACTTGAGAAACCCTAGATCCTTTGAAATATTCCTAAAAAGGGCTTAATTAGTAAAGTTTAGGAGTGTTGGATATAAGTAAATAACATTACGATTGTCATCTTTGAAAAGTATTCTCAAGCTTCTATTTATCACTTAATTACAGAAGTAATTTTGTAGCTAATATCAGAATAAAATATTTACTGAAGCATCAAGCTCCTGTATTATTTGGTAGTTTATATCAAAGGATGTGTTATACTGTAATATAAAAATGAACTTTTAAATTATTATTTAATTGAAAATTTTAAGCCTGTGGACAGCTCAGTAGGTAAATTCAGTGTCACAAGTCTTATTACCCAAACTAGACCCTGAGCCCATTTCATGGACAGAATGATTAGACTCCCAAATGTTCCTTTTTGTTAAAAATAAATCAGTGTAATAAATGAAGAAATCCCTTTGTATTTAATCTTCCATGTTCCTCAGAAAATAATAAATTTGATTTTTAAAGTTTAAATTATTCTTACTGGCAGAAAATCTGTTTTAATGTGTGTCCTGTGGCAAGTGTATGGAGGTTAGAAGACAGCAAATTTTGGGGGAGTTCAACACAGGTGGTCAGGCTGTGCAACAGTGCTTTTACTCATTGAACCAATTTTCTGACTTCCTTATCCCTAGGAATTTTCAATTCATATTTCACAAGTGGCTAGATTTGATAGATATAAAAATTCATACTTTACATATAAATATTTATTTGTCAAGCTGTTTTTTCATTCTTTTTTTTTTAAGTGGGTCATTATATAGCTTTGAACACAAGATCTTTCTCCATTCTTCTCCTGAATAGTGGAATGACAAGTACCACCATATATGGGAAGATGTACAAATGAAAATACACACAAATAAATGCATACATATACTGGTTTTTTTTTTTTTTTTTTTTCGAGACAGGGTTTCTCTGTATTGTTTTGGAGGCTGTTGGTCCAGCCTGGCCTCGAACTCACAGAGATCTGCCTGCCTCTGCCTCCCGAGTGCTGGGATTAAAGTCGTGTGCCACCACCGCCCGGCTACATACTGGTTTTAAAAAATGAGCCATACAATACCTTCAATTTCCAATCCAAACCACAGAACTCTTCATTGTCATCTCCTATGTCATACTTGTCTTTCCCATGTCAAAGTGAGAACCCTGATTCTTAACATCACTGTATTTACTCATGTGCTGAATTACATGCATATACAATAGCTTCACAATTATTGCATACCCGAAACACAAACTGATAAAGAGAATATGGTATTTGTGTTTAGTTTTCCCTCATTGAGTATAGTTATATTACTCATTTGAACTATAGTTGGACTCATTCTTTTCTGTTTGCATCTGGCTTCAATGCTTTTATCTGTTCTTGTTGGGTTCACCATAAATTAGAATATGTATTGTATGAACTTGCTTCCAGAGGTCAGAATCATATACTGGTATTCTCAGAGATGTGTTACTCCCTAACCTGTTCTCTTTCCATCCTTAGTCAGTCAATTTTAATTGACTTCCAGTTTATCCTTCCAGTAAATATTAAAACAAAACATGTTTTTAATATGCCCATTCTGATTTTTTCTTTTTCCCCTCCCTCCATCCATCCCTCTTTCTCTTCCTCCTCTTACACCTCTCTCTCACAATAATTTGTAGAACAGTAGAAATCTTTAAAATTAAAGAACTAGAGGTGATGTTGAACACCATAACAGAACAAACAGCCTTACTAACATCATTCATAGAAATGAGCAAACCCAAGACATAGAAGACATAGAAGACTCAAATCTCATGTAATTGCTATGAATGAATGTACATTAAGCAATCATTCCATCATAACCTCTCTTTAATCATAAGAAAACTGAATTTATGTGGCATAGTAAAGACTTGCAAAACTTAATGAAACACAATTCTTTTGCGTCTCTCAAACTTTTAAAAACCCCCAGAAAGCATTGGAAATGATTAAATGACTTAAGATGACTCTTTTATTACAAATTGTTCGTCATATTAACATAATTCCCATTTGTAATATAAAAATAATAGCTTTTTTAACAAGAATTTTTGCTTGTTTGTTAAAACTAGACGTTCTAAAAGGCTAGGTTTTATTTTTAAAGTAACCTTCAATTAGCAATATGTATGTTACAAAGAATACTAATTTTGGTTACATTTTCAAATCTCTTAGCTATTAAATTTTGAAAGTTATAATACATTCAAAAATAAAATGCCCACATAAGATAACTGTAGTAAGAAACATTCTTAAATCAAAAATTCGAAAAGCATTAAGCAAGAAATTGCAATGTTTCATCTTATTCAAACATTCGGTTGTGTATCTTCTCATAGAGCCCAGATTCTCCCCCTGTTGTACCCCATTGTTAAGAAATATTTCAGTGCTGGAGATGTGGCTTAGTGGAAGATCCCTTGCCTAGCATGTTCATGTCTGTTAGCCCTTCACCTTTTCTTTTTTATTGTCTGTACTCTTTCATATGATGTATTTGATAATATTTATTCCACTAGCTTATCTCCTCACAAATCTCCTCAACCTCACATCTACCAAATTCTCTCTCTCTCTCTGTCTCTCTCTCTGTCTCTCTCTCTGTCTCTCTCTGTCTCTGTCTCTCTGTGTCTCTGTCTCTGTCTCTGTCTCTCTCTCTCTCTCTCTCTCTCTCTCTCTCTGTCTCCTTCCCTCCCTCAGTCCCTCCCTCTCTTTCTCCCTCTCCTTCTCTCAAAACAAAGAAACAACAGCAACAAAAAAGATAGCAAAAAAGAAAATAGCAAAACAAACCAAAAAACACACCTTAAATATATATAAATAAAAAGTGGAGTTTTATGTTGCTAAGCATGGATCCTTCACTGGCGTGTGTAGATATACCCAGTGCCACTCAGCTGAAGAAACCTGATTTCCCTCTCCCAGAAGTTATCAATGTCAAATAGCTTATGGTTACAGATGGATCCCTCAGTACAGTTGAGACAATCTGAAAAAAATTCATCTAGAGGAAAAGTAATCTTGTACTCTTTAGCTGGGAAACAAGAGTTTCTTGTACTCTTTAGCTGGGAACTTTCATTGCTCAAGCCTGATACCTGATTTCAATCCCAGGAGCCCCTGTAATCCAACAAATCCAACAGAACCTTCACATGTGCAGTTACATGTCTGCATACACACTCAATAACAATAAATATTTCTTAAAATTTTATAAATCATATAATATTGAATGCATGAATATAAAGGACTTTAAATAGAGGATTCAGGACCTTCCTATGAGGCCATCCTTCTTAGGTTTTCTCTAATAAGACTTCCAAAATGATAGTTGTATCTCTGACATGCTTTGAAACAAACAGTATCTGTACATTGCTGTGGTTGAGCAGTTAAGAATCATGTTGCAATATTTTGTGTTTTAGTCTAAAAATTAGGTATAATTTTCATTTTAGAAAGTCTTATAGTGTGTAATATTATGATATTCTTTCAGTAAACACTGATATAACTACATGGGAACTAATGGAGGTATTATGAAATAATTGATTATCTAAAAGTATTATATGCAAATGAAAAACATCATTTGTACATTTTAGAGAACATGGCACAAAGTATCATAAAGAGGCCCATCTTTGGATTTGTAACGTGAAGGCCAGGAGCATAAAAGACAAAAGCATTTCTAAATACAGTGTATGTGGTATAATTCAAAGCATCAAGTATTTCAAACCTACCCTTTGTAGTTTTACCCACAACATATTCTAGGTGTGAAGAATGTCTGGGTAGTAGTGTTTTTGTAGTAGACAGGAGGTCCTGGGTTAACTCCCTATTACCAAAAACAGAAACAAAAACTGTATCACTTGGTATAGCTTTGTCCTTTTAGAAAAGTAAGAAAATTATTTTCATAACCATATGCTATCAGTTAACATAGCTGAAAAAATCAGTGTTTCAAGATAAAAAATGAATGTGGTATATAATAAATAAAAATGTTAAATGGATAGATATAAGAATGCCCAGATATGTATATATTCCTACTTAAATCCACATTCACTTAGATATTGATATA